CCCAATAGATGACTGCAGAGTAGGAAATATTTCTTGTTTGTAAATGACTCTTTCAAAAATTCTCATGGCTACATCTGTAAGTGATATGGGTCTCAATTGACTACATTCACTTAATGGGGATACCTTGGGAATAGGTGTGACATTGGCCAATTTCCAAAAACAAGGAACTTTTTGCTGTTTAATTGAATTATTGAAAATTGAAAACACCCTCGTGTTTTGCTCTATCTGCCTCTTATGTTAGATCAGGTTCGATAACCCATGTTTGTTCTATGAGTGGGTCTCAATCAGCATATCAAGGTGTAAATTTATCCTAGTTTTGCGATAACTCAATGAAATTATATGAAAGCTGAAATCTGGCGTGATGTCATGAAAGACCCATCAATTTGTTGATAGAAGAGTGCTTTTGAAAAGTGTCGGAAAGTTTCTATTTGTTCTTTTATGCAGGAGAGTAAATTTCCTTGAAGTTATTGTCTAAAACATATGGACATATGGAAAGCTATGACACTCAACTTGGCATACACTCCACTTTAACCAAAGAGCCATGCAGCACACTGAAATTCAACCGTTCATCTCTACCCGCAGACTTTTATGACAAGGCAAGTAAGAGTAATCACTTACCTTCACATACTCCATCTCCATTTTTTTCAAATCCGTCATGACAAGAACACTCTCCGTCATCGTTACACCCTGTTCCATGAGGACCGCATTTGCACGCCATTTCTGTATGGGCAAATCACATGCATTTGAATGTTAAGCTGAGGAAGAGCAAAACGAGCTTTACTTTTCTCGCTGTTTTCTGTATTAGTGTAAAGCTCGACATAACAATACCGTCAGGATCAGCTGAGTCGGAGGAACGCGTAGATAACCTGCCATGAGTAGAAAATTGTTTCCAGCAAAACGTAGCTGGACTCTGTCGTTGTGCACGATAATACCATTATTTAAAGCATTTATTTACAATCTCACCAGTCTCACTGCCTCCGTTCCCCCTCCCCCTAGAATTCTGGCGGAACTTCTGCGGAAGGCTCCTTAATAATCCAAAACTTGAACCAAAGATTTCTCGTTACAAATTTATAAATGCGTGAAGATCGAAAATCCTTTGAGCACCTACTATGTATGTAGCAGCAGACTTCTAAGGCAGCAAACTGTTTGGTCAGAATCAGGGATTAAGACTCTTCAAACAGTTAAGAAAAATCTCGAATCGGAAGTTTTAGTAAGTGGCGGTACTTACTCACGCACTCGCCGTCATCTCCCTTCTGGTATCCTTTTTTACAATGACATTCAAAAGCGCCTGGCGTGTTAACACAGACGTGCTTAGCTGGGCAAACGTCTGAATCCTCGCATTCGTCTATATCTACATAGGCACAATGGAGATAAGATAAATTAAGGCCATGTTACCTCTAAAATCAGGTCTTCTTTGGTTGTTTGATTGCAATGTTTTTCGCTCATGCACCTTGGAAAAGATTTCTGAACCTTTGCACGTTAAAAATGCGACTGCACTGAGACGAGAAGGAGAAATATCTGACCGACAAGAAGATAAAATTCATGCAAGGGAAGAGATAGTCGCGTTTTAACTTTGATCGACTATATTATTAAAATTGATGGTCAACAATAATTTCGCAACCTTCTCCATCACAACACACATTTTCCATGTGGTCACTTTAGGTAATTTCTTGAATAGATAACATTAGATCTATAGACAAACAAATGCACAACCTTAATGATCGATCCAAAAATTTAAAATACTTTACCAATGGTAACATACTGCCTCCCTTCCAAGTCATTCAACATTGGGTTTATTCCAGCGAATCATAAATTGGAGGAGCACACTGACTGACAACTCATCAACATCGCGATTTTTGGCGAAGTGATTGATAATCTTCCATTGTGCATATGTTTAAGGAGGAAGTCAAGCCTTCCTGTGACCAATAAAGGCTGCAGTTTTAAAATTTGTCCAGCACAGCGTGGATGGAAATGTTGAGGAGGTTTTCAGAATAAAATCACTTCTTTCAAATTTAACAGGTCTAGGGCGAATGGGCCTCAAATAAACAACACTAATGGAGAATTTGAATGCCAAGACAACATCTACCTATCGTTCAAAATAAAAGTGTGACATCTTACCCACACACTTGCCATCATCAGACTTCTCATAATCTGGGTTGCATCTGCAGTAAGGACTAAAAGGATACTTCGGATCTCTAATACAGACGGAATTGGCGTCGCATTCATGCGTGACTGGGCAGAATAAAGAAGCTGTGACAGAAAAAAATGGGAATGTAACTANCATGGACCTTTCTTTAGCTTCACATATTCTTGATTATATAGAAAGCTGGCTTGAGTTTTTTTACTTATCACAGTGAACCTCTTTTGGGAAAACATTGACATATCCTTATCTGAGAAAATGTAGTTTTGAAATTAACAAGTTTTTCAAATGAATAAAGGCTGATAGTTTCTAAAGAAACTGTTTGGGGCTGCGTCGGTGGGGATAACGAGATAATTTGGATATATCAACAAAGTTGAAATGGTAAATTGGCCACCGTAACGATTACAAAAGCTGACGTTTCGAGCGTTAGTCCGTCGGAGCGAATAGAGGAATTGTGGGTTGTGTGTGCTTTTACAGGCAGAAAATGGAGCTACAAAATCGTGCGTTGCAGGGAAAGATACAGGAAATATTGATAACGAGGCGAGGTGGGGGCGGGATTCCAGCTCTTAAATGAGAAAATAAAGAATGTTATTTAACTTTGGGACCCAAATAGGCTGGGAGATATTTGAAGACAGGTAAATTTTACATACCTAGAGTGGATTGGCAGCATGTGCTCTTATCATTGCAAGTATTGTTGTGTCAGACAAGTAATGAAAACCCACAAGTTTGAATGAGAGGAAAAAGTTCTGCTCCCCCCCCCCCTACACTCTTCCTCTGTTGCTAACATACCTTTGCAGTCTTTTCCATCGCCGGCGGTCAGTCCTTTACAATGACACTTCCCTCGACGGCATTCGGCATCTTTATGGCAGTCCGCAGACGTAGCGCACAAATGTAAATCTGTTTGAAAACAATGAAGGGCTTGACACTAACTTTTCAACTTACTAGCCAAGTGGCTAGTGACCGGTCCTAGATGTTTTTAGATGTTACAACAATTTCAGTCTGTTTACTAGCCAAACTGGCTAGTGGAAATTGAAAACCATTAGCCAAAACTGAATTTCTACTAGTCTATGACTAGTGGGCTACCGTTAGCGTCGAGCCCTGCAATGGTCGTTTCATCTGAGCTGACTGATACTAAGGGTTGATAGAGAGAGAAAAATATCCAGCCATTACAAATTTTGAATAGCTAGCACTTCGTCGGAGCAAAGGGTCAAAAGCTGAGAGTCACAAAAGTGGATATCTTTAAAATCGATTCCAGCTAAACATTTGACTTTTCTCCCCTTTCTGTCTCTCTTTCAAACGGTAGAGGGAGGGTAGTGGCTAGTGGAGATGTGTCCATGGATGGGGTTGCATTTTTCACGGCTGGATTAACTAAAATGTGGTTACATTTTTAACACAGTTACTAGAATGAGGTCGCACATTTTAGTTTTTTTTTTTCAGGATTTAGGAGTAAGTTTAATAAATTTGTCAATTCAATTTAGGGTGAGCTACTAAGGAGGGTTTATAGAGTAGACACAGAAATAGAAAGTGACTGAGTTGGGATCTTGAAAATGACATTAGCCCAAAAGTTATTATAGACTATAATGAGGATACCGGGTTCTGAGAGGCCAGCGGCACATACCAAGCAAATGTTGACAAAAGAACTCCTCTCCCCACCCCCCTTTCTTCCCCGCTCTCAAACAAACAAATACTTCAGAAATTCTTAAGTAATTTGGATTCGCTAAAACGGCAGTCTTACCAGGTTTCTTGCACTTAAAATCCACACAGCGTTCAGCACCTTGACAATGCTTGTCAGTTCGGCACTCTGGAGTAAATTTTGAGAAAACATGATAAACTATGTGAGTACACCTGTTGATGACAGCGTTGTTGAACGCCAATCACATAGAAGGGATAAGTTCTACGAACTAAAAGGTTAGAGAACAGATGTATTTTTGAAGTTTTTATTTCAAAAAAAGGAAAACTTGCATTTTAGTTGGAGTCACGAGAATGTCTTTTTCTCAGGTATAAATGTTGACATCGTCAAAACTTTTATGAATGCCTTCCCGAGTCTCGAAAGTAAATTCTCTAGAGCCCTGCACCCCCCTCCCTATATTTCTGAAAGCCCAAATATAAATTAATAATATCAATCAAGGATGAACTTACCGACACACTTTCCGCTAGTCCCAATAGCGTAAACCAGGTTCCGTCGGCATTTGCAGAATACCTCTGATGGCGCCATTGGATCAATCAAACAGGTGGTAGTATGAGGGTCACACTTGCGTTTCCCTTTGCATGGTTTGGCAGCTAAAAAAAAATACAGAATTCATGATTTTATTTGAACATGAGCATGACAGGACGGAAAACGCGTGCACTGTAAGTACCTCCCGTTGTCCCATACAAAGCCTTTGAACAGTTTTCTAAGGCTTTATATGGGACAACGGGAGGTACTTACAGTGCGCGTGTTTTCCACCCTGTCATGCTCGAAATGGAGAACATTACCTTGATAAGGGAGAATTATTGTTCCGTTATGTCACCAACGTGAGACAAAGGAAATATCATTAGTCCCCAGGTGGAATTTTAATCTCAGACCTTCGGATTCTGCCCTCCGAAAGTCTACCTCTGTACCACAGAGACTCTACGACGGCCAAGGCCAGTTATAGGTTCATGTGAAACAAGCGTCCTTCACATAAAAAATGTTAATGCTGATACATCAGTCCGCTACTTACTCTTTTTTTTGTGTACTTGACTAGTTACCTCTGCATTGGGAGCCGTCCCCCCATCGGTTTCCTTGACAAATGCATAGTCCTTTCAGGCACTTGGCCTTAGAATTGCAATCTTCGTCCACTTTACATGGTTTGTTAATTTCTGAAACATATAAAATCAATATCTTTTACGAATCTATGCACTGCACTGAAGATGTTACGCTTTTTGATTTTGAAATATCTTCCTTGACCCTACAACTCCTCCAAGGGCCTCTTCATATGAGCCTGGTTGACCGGGCTGGCCCGGTTTCCGAGATCCCGCCTTACCTCTAGATCCTTTGTAAAATCGTCGATGTGTTCATATGAGAGGGCAGAATTTTACAAAGGATTTAAAGGTAGGGGTAGGGCGAGATCTCGGAAACCGAGCCAGCCCGGTCAACCGGGCTCATACGAAGAGGCCCTACGTGACCAAGACAGAATTTCTCCTTACAATATCAAAGAGACAAGTGACGAGAATTAAGAAAAATATCAGCAACGAGGGAATTATTAGTTTTATACCAAATTCTCGGAACTAAGATAATAGGAATTGTATGACAGACAGTAAGGGGCATTAATAAGGAGATCTTGGAAAGGACAGGGTTGAGAGGAACAAACCTTTGAACATTTCCTGAAGGCACACAGCTCAAGTTTTAACTGGTTCGGATAATGAAAGTTCAGGCTAAAATGACAAAAAATGTAAAGCGATCCGTTGATCGGCTGTCACGCAAGAGGTCAAGGCCAATCTTTCAGCTTGGCCAGGAATGTACCAAATATATGACCTCTCGCGTGATATTCGCTCTGACGAAGGGCTAATGCTCGAAACGTCAGCTTTTTAACTCTTTACGGTGGCCAATTTACAATTTCAACTTAGTTGATATTACCACATTACCTTGTTACCCCCCTTGACGTAGCACCATAGTTTCTTTACAAACTTACCCCCCTTATTCTCTTGCGTGACAGCCGTTCAACGGCTGTCACGTTAGCCCGAACTCTTTTCAAGCTGGACGCACCGCCTATGGCGGGCCAAGAAAGAAACTTAGAGGAATTAAACTAAAAAGATAAATTTTTAAGATGCATATTTTGATTCGTAAATATATCATACCAGACCTTTTTAAAGGCCTTTAAATGGGTCATGACAGCCGTTCAGCAGTTCGCTTTGCATTTTAGACAAAATAGCCTTAACTCTTTTAAACCTGGACGCGCCGCTTCCATCGGGCCAAGATAGAGAATTAGAGGAATTAAAATACAGAATAAAGCTTTAAGGTGGTGTATATTATGATATGAAAGTATCTATTGCCCTTTATTTAACCTCTGCGAAAAAGACGCGAAGTACTTTATTTTAAAGGGTTACTATTCAGACTTAAACGTTACAACATAACAAGAAATTAATATTTTCCAAAGAATAAAAGGACCATCTGCTAGCACACAAAATCTGAAAGTGGGATTGCATCGCGTTGTTGCGCACGAAGTTGTCGAAGTTGTATACTTTTTTATTGCTTTACGGGGGGACAACGGTCATTTAGGCGTATTTTGAACTTTTTGATTTTTCGGAGAAAAAAAAGGCGCAATAGACCTTTTTGAAATAATTTTCGAAAAAGATTCTTTAAAACTGTCCTTTAGATAAAATGAAATGAATTACGAAATTTTTCAACTATCGGCGGATACTCGATATCTATGGTCACTGGCTCTTTAATCCCTGACGGGAAGAACTTCCATAAGTAAACTTCCTCCCAAATGTAAACTTAACTACAGTGAAAATAAAAAACCTCCTAAGTGCATCCATGACTCAGTAGTGTACACTGTGGCGTTTATCATTTGTTTTATAACATAACATTGATACATTGTAGCAAAAGAGTTTTCTTTTATATCTAACAAATCTTACGTCACCAGAAAAAACAAGCGTGCGCGGTAAACTAGTCTTTGCATTTGCTCACGTCAGCAGCGCACACCCATGGGCAAATGGTGGATGCTGAATTGATCAATCAGAGCGCGCGCTTTAGACTAAGGTAAATGATATTTTCAGGAACTGATTTGCTTTCGAACTTTTGTTTGACGAAAGATTTGAGGCTGACTGAAAGTTGGGTCTAAATTTCAGACGTAACGCTACACAATATTTAGTTGATGGGTGACGTGGTTGTGAAAATGCGGCCGATTGCGCCAAGATAATACTTGTAGCAAAGTTGAAAGTGCGCACAAAGTTGCAGTTTATCCACTATACATTGTACAAGATTCTTTTTCAGAGACGAACGTCGTAGTTTATTTGCGCGCTCAGTAAGTAATTACCTCGCGCAACATTTCTTGTCTGCCTCAACACTAGGACATAAATTACAAAATGTTTCATAATATGTTCCCTAGGTTTCAAACCTTCCGTCCAGTTTGGAAAAAGTCTTCCCTTAAAAGTTTTTTTGAAGTAGGAAGAAAATTTTTTCTGTGATTACAGAAGAAAAGACAATCTTGCTTGTTTGTAAAATCGTTCTTAAAAGTTAACGTCCAATTTCGACGGTTATTTCTTTAAAACGTTTCGTTTAGCGCACTGCAAAGATTATCTAAAAAAAATATATATATATATATATATATATATATAATTATAACAAACTGAGGTACCTCTGAAGTCTTGAACCAGTTTGTTATAATTATCAATGCTCCTCTAAGAGTTGAGCGCTCTTTGAAAGACATTCAAATCAAGTTCAAGAATTCATATATATATATTTATATATATAGTAGTATGTAATGAGAACAGAAATCGAAACAATAAAGGAGATAAGTGAAAAATGTGTTTAGCCGGGAATCGAACCCGAGTCTCCTGGTTAACGATCAGTTGCCTTACCACTAGGCCATTACACTTTAAACAAAATTCCGTATTTGGGCCGTACACAAACGCTTTAGCAGGGTCGGAAAAGCCACAGGCCCCGTGAACGACTAGCAAAGAAAAGAAGGGAAGAAAAGGAAGGAGCAACAATCGCACATGATAAAATGCTAATTCATTGAGTTAGGTCAGGCCGAACAAGGAAATTTTTGGCTCTCGATCACAACCTTTAGATACATATTTTCTTGTACGGCCCAAGCACTTAGTAAATATGTTAGCATTATCATATGACCCGTCCGGCCCCATGGAAAACCATCATGATAGTAAAAGCTGATGTGTGCTGGGCCGTCCGGCCTTACTACCTTCAATTCGCTTTGTTGTAAAAACTTAAAGGAAAGGAGAAAAAAAGTCGTGTTTTACGAGGAACTGGGTGTTTCTTGTTCTGACTCGAAAAAATAAGGGAAAAGTTATAATTCCATATTTTTTTAGGCTCGTGTGGCTGTGTGTGCCCTTCTATCGCGTTCTATTTATGTTGAAATTTTCAACATTTAGTGGTCATATGATAAAATGCTTCTTGACCGAGTTCGGTCGGGCCGGACGGGAAAATATTTAGCTTTCGTCGTCGTCATGAGGCAGGGACCTCGCTGCGCCCGGTCCTTACGTCATGTCCTCGAACCAAATATTTTTCCGGCCCTCCCCCTCAGTCAATAAGTATATATTACCGCCCCGCCCCCGCATGGTGACTCACCGACACACACATTCTTGTCGTTAAGCTTGAATCCAATCCAGCATCGACAATTGACAGTGTTAGGGAATAGAGAATCAACTGGGCACCATCCTTTATCTCCACAATAATTCATTGTCTTACACGTTATTGCTTTCTGGGTCGCTGAAAAAAGAAATTTATTGCATTGATTTTTGGTGAAGCTCAAAACAGAATGGCAAATCAACAGGATGCCTGTACTTGAATAATGGTTATGTTCGAAAAGTCCCGAGTTTTCCTTTTCCCTACTCTTCTTTTCTTTTACAGATTTATGGAACGTTCCAATTACCTTACGCATATATTGCCAGACAGCGGTTGTTTCATACGTTTGACTTAAAAATTTGGCTCGGGAATTGCTTAAACTTTGTGGTCTCATTAACTCTTTTTAATACTCACTTTTGCGATTGGCTGTTGCGGTTGCTTTAGATTGGTTTTGCGATACTCAATCGAAACACGTAAATGTCTCTTACCTCTGCAAGTTTTGCCGTCTCCTACATTATACCCTACACAAAGGCATTCTCTTTCCAAACATATGGCGTTTTTATGACAGTCTTTGGACTTTGAGCATTTCGCACGGTCCGCTGGTTAAAAGGAAAACACAAGACAAAATTAGCGAACACAATAAGCGAACCTTACGCTGCTCATTATCCAAGAATAATGTGCTGTGTGGTAGAATTCTACAGATCTCATAAGCTGACTTTATAGACTAACGTGCATACCCTATCTCTAAGAGTTCACTGTTATCCATTTCTAACCCAATAAGGGAGGTGGCAGTGATGAGGCCTTGGTACTCCATTCATCAGCGCAACATTGAAGACCCAACTAGATAGAGATTGAAATCACGTTTCCCCGATCGGAGCTTGATAGGTAACAAATAAAAAAAAAAAACGTCCTTACCAACTTTGCAGTACACTCCATCTCCGACCAACGGGGGGCGACAAATGCATTTTCCCTTTTGACAAGAAGAATAGGCTAGACACATAGAGTCACTATAGCAACTTCCTGTTAAGAGGAAAAAAAGGAGGCGTTGAAATAATGAACGACGCTTTATTACCCACAATTATTAACAATCGTCCGAAGGAGCCTCGGGTGGTATCAACGACGTTCGGGCTCAGTTTTTCCCAATACTAACCTCCCGGCTGGTAAATACTATATGTTTCCCGCTTCGTACAACCAAAAAAAAAATTGGAAAGTGAAATATGAGGGAACAACAGCGCGCGCAAATGACTCGTAAACTTTCGCGTTACGTGTGAATAGAGAGATTTAGCAAGAGGACGGGAACGTCATTTTAGAACGGGAGAGCGCGCGGAATAGTCTGGACACGACACCATTCGACCTCCGGTGTTAGCGTTGCCGTTCTCCCAAGCAAGTTCTGGATGTTACTTCGCTGGTTTTCCCGTCGCGATCAGAACGTCTGAGATTTCCATAAATTGTACACTTGTAAATCAATCCAAACGAGATAATACAGTTTGGAAGTATTTCAATAGTCATTTTCAGGATAATTGGGCCAGTTTCTTTCTTTTAATCGGTGTTTTTGAAAACTTGTCGCTTCAATATGTTGGATTCCCGAAAGGAAATTGGAACACGATGGTTGGCAAGCGATCCAAGATTTCAGGATTCAGTTTGCTTTTGAATGAGCTAGGCTTTAGACAATAAAAGGGCTTTTCTTTAATACATTTCTTTAAGCCTATGTGAAAACTCTAAGAATGGGATGCTATTGAATTTTATCGTAAATCGATTCATCAATAACCATGCTGCATGTTTAAGTTTAGAGCAGTCAATCAAATGAACAATGAATCACGAAGCTTACATACCGTAAAATTATTTTATTTGTTGTTGTTTTTACCGATCAAGAATGAATGCTTTGTGGATTGAAGTCAGAGATAAACAATTTGAGAATTTTCTCGGGTTTGCACTTTTTTATGTCTTAAACTTGTTTAATCAGTGCCGATGAAAACAAGAAAGTCGTGCTCACGCAACAAAAGAAAATGACAATTCTATTTCGACACGACTTTCTGAATAAAGTAATTTAATTCAGTCTTGAACAACTTCGTCGAAAAAGGAAGAAACAAAACGAAATCAAACAAAAAACCGAAACCAAGTCTAATCCTAAGCCTAACCGTTTCAGGGTGACTTGCATTAATTCTTTCAGCGTTAAATAAATAAGAACTCATCATAAACACTTTTGTCGTTGGGTCGCTTGGTTTCTACATGGTTTCGCCATGTAATTTAATTCAGTCTTGAACAACTTCGTCTAAAAAGAAAGAAACAAAACAAAACAAACAAAAAACCGAAACCAAGTCTAATCCTAAGCCTAACCGTTTCAGGGTGACTTGCTTTAATTCTTTCAGCGTTAAATGACTAAGAACTCATCATAAATACTTTTGTCGTTGGGTCGCTTGGTTGCTACATGGTTTCCAAACTATACTTTGTAAAATTGCGAAGAAAGATGAGCAGTGATAAAATCTAATGGCACGAAACGAAAAGACAGCAACACATATCGCAAAAAAAATATCTAATGGGCTCTAAAATTCGATACAGGAATCAACAGATACAAGTCTTACCTGGAATGGATCAATTAAAGAGTTTAATCGCCCATGTGGTTCGCATTTAATAAACATCTAACTTTCCGTAACTATAATTATCCTCTGTTTGCGCTTGTTGCATCACTCTCAAAGAGGATAGTTTCGTTGTTCTTAAAGCTGTTTGTGAAAGCTAAAATTTGTGTTGGCGATCTTTGAAAAGCCGTGTTTAGGCTATTGAAGAACAGATATATTGCGCTGGCGTTTCTTTGCAACGACTGCTAAATCACTTCTGAAACACAACGGGGCGACGTTCTCGACCCAGTTTCTTACCGGTGTTTTTGCTGCGCGCGCCGTTGTCAACTCACGTTCCCGTCCTCTTGCTAAATCTCTTTAATGTCGTAATGGTGCCCAAATCGGGCTGTTGTTGACCAATTCTTCAACCGGACTTTTGATCAATATCGGAAAAGTCAAATGTTATCTTTTTCTCCGGTTTACTTTTTTCCAGTTCCCACTTTGCGCTAGCGTTAAAAAAAAAAACACCTGTTCAGAGACGAAGATTTCTCGAGCAAAGCTTCGATTGAATTGAATGATATACATACCGCGTCATGGCACGCGCTCGTNCTTCGACAACGATGCACAGAACTGATGTTAAATTCGGGATCGGGAGTGAAAAAGTGAACCAATAGAAAAGTGAAAATAAACCTACCGTATCGTTCTTCCAAGGAACGAAGAGCGTAGCCTTCACCTACCAAAACTATGAATACCACCAAAGTAAGAATGTTTCCTAACAAAGGTCGCATTTTGAAGGGAACAACTGCCACTTTTCGTAGACGTCTAAGTTAGAAAGAAACTGACTGATCAAATGAGCCGTTAACTGATTTTCCCGTTTATATACGTCATAATAGCTCACGTCAGATATATTTGTGCGCGTGGAGGGTAAACTGGGATAAGGACACGAAGTCGAGGCTCTCCAAAAACGATGTAGATTTTTACAACAGAAAGGCATTTTGTCTGCGCATGTTCGGTGCATTTTTGTTTGGCCGGTTAAGGCGGCGAAATACGAGATACAAAAACCCTCAACTCGGCGCGCAACATTGTTTCCTTGCAAGTTTTGGTCGATGTTTCTTGTTTTTCACCTTGCGTGATCAACTTGTCGCGCAACAAAGACATTTGTTGCGGGTTGAAGAAATTTGTTGCGAAAAGTAGTGCGCGGGTCAACTTTGAGCAACAAATTTTGGCTTTGTTGCTCGTTTTTCATCAAACTCGCAACTTGTCACGCAACAATCTTGCTCGTGCTCGTATCTGATTGGCTGGTAGAAATAACAATGTCAGGTCACAGCAAGTGCCTGAGGTAAACAAACATGGCGGATGTTTCGCCGGCAAAATCTTTCCCCGAAAGTAATAGTCCTACAACGCCCGATGAGAAGGATATTGTATTGGGTAAAACGCTTAACGATGAAAGGAGGCTGGAGCTTATTGAAAAGTTGAAAGAATTCCCATGCCTTTGGGAGACGAGCAGTTCGGCTTATGAAGTCGATAAAAAAAAGAAAGAGGGAGCGATTGAGGAGTTAAGCGAAAATTATAATCTCGAGAGAGACAGCATCCGTAGTCTTATACATGGACTAAGGTCAGGATTAAACCGTGAATTAAAGAGGGAGGCAGAGGGCAAGGTTGTCAAATGGAAATTTTACCATGCACTCAACTAATATGAAGGAGGACATTGTCAAAAGTACGAAGGTAGGTTGCGTTTCATCGCATCTATCTATTATAATTAACTATTAAAGACATTAACCTTTGTTATCTCACTAGAGTACTGATTTTATATTCGCCTATTCTTTAATCTTAACCTTCTTCTGCCACAAGTGTCGATGAAAAAAATGCAAATAAAACGCCGTTGTAAAACTTTTCTTTAAATTGTGTTGCAGGACAAGGATGAGAAAGAGTGGGCCCCTGAGGAGTTCGAGAAATTAATAGATTATTATAGGGACAATGATACGGTGGCCCAGAAGGCTCAACGCAAATAAAAAATATACTGCAGCAAAT